CTGGGCACATGAAAGCTGATAAAGCAACTCCAGAGCCTTGGCTGGGGATCACAAGCCACTCACATTGCCCAGACAGTGGCTTCCCCACACTGTGCTGCCCCTTCTCCTCCCTCCCCCAGCAAATCCCAGTTTTTTTCTGTCATGCCAGCTGATCCCAGAAGCTGAGCTATGGTCACATCCCCCCAAACCACACACAGTCCCAGGGTGCCTCCGCAGGCCTCGATGGAGCTGCAGGAGCAGAGGTGTGCGGTAAGGTCTCCAATGACTAAGACTTCATTATKTTTTACAAAGTATACTGCAGAATATTTATCCATGCATTATGATGAATTAGCATAAATAATTAAACCAGAACTCATATTGGCACACACATAAGCAAAGGGCACTCACTAATGGACCAGGCTCGCTCTGCTGCTCTAGGGACWCACTTAGATGCAAGTCCATGACAAAGAAGCCAAGAAAGGATTCATATTTGTCCTTGTTTTTACCCCAGCCTTTTCCCATCTCGCCCCAGATGGCTCACAGAGGACTGGGGGTGAGCACATCTTGTGGAACATCTCCTGAAGGGYGCAGAGAATAATGGAAAGCCTCCAGTCTTTCAACCTGTTCCCCAAATCCCATGACACTCTTTTCTGCAAACAACCCACCTACAATCAGTCATGCAAGAGGTGCTCGCCGGTGCTTCCCAGAACTGCTGCTGATTTGATGGATCGCATGACTCTGCCTCCTCTTTTTATTCCAGGTATTAAGCAGAGAAGACTGCATTGCAAATAGAGAAGGGCTCTCTAATGTTCCCCRTGGCTTCCCCCTCTCATCAGCAGGTACATGGTGGTGACCTCCACCAGCAGAGTGCAGGTGATCCTGCACACTTCCCCAAAAAGAGGTATCTTATCCCAAACCTTTTCCTAGTCTTATTTTTCCATTAAAGTAAAGGCTGCATTTGTCTCAAAAGATGGTATGAAAATGAGATTATCTCTTAGTTACCTCTCCTTTTCTCCCTTTTCTTTAAATCAGGTTGAAAATTTTCCATAAATTGCGACTCCAAACGATTCGTATTATGTCACCTTTCTGGACTCTGTCATTTATCCACCAAATATTTTGTGCTTGCAAGTAAAAATACACTGGAAAAATAAAAATCTTGCTTTCAATTTTTCATTCTATTCATTAATGCTTCCAAAAATACACTGGAAAAATAAAACCATGTTTTCAATTTTTCGTTCTATTCATTAATGCTTCTGTGCATAAATAAGGCATTTGGATGGTTTGTGGAGGCGGACAGGTCTCGAGTCTGTCTCCCTGGCCACAGCACACATCCCACGAGGCACAGCCACAGGGGTTTTCTGCAATATATTGCACTGCCTAACACACAGGGAAATACAGAACATCATGGGAGCATCAGCTATACCTACAGCAACACGAGCTCAGAAAAGAACAGGGACAGATTGTAGCCTGACCTGCAACCCCCAAGAGACATTTCCAAATGAAATATGTCAAAGGTTAAAACAGAATATTTTATTTTATTTTATTTTATTTTATTTTATTTTATTTTATTTTATTTTATTTTATTTTATTTTATTTTATTTTATTGTATTTTATTTTATTTTATTTTATTTTTTTGTTATACTGAAAACATTCAGCAGGAGTTTACAGACATGAAATTTTTCATGGAAAAGAGAACTTCTTCTTACCAAGTAAGACCACTAAAACATTGCCATATTGCCAAGAAGTCCATGAACCCTRGTGACCCAGCAAAAGGGAACGTCATGGGTGCCAGACAGATCTCTTGTCTAGTAGAACTGCCAGAGAATAAATGTTTTCAGATGGTGAAGGAAATAGCCAGCTTCTTTAGGGACCAAATCCCCAAGGATAGGCTCGGACAAACTCACTTATGCAGAACAAAGAAGGAAGAATCACAAGGAAAGTATCTCATGCCACTTTGTGTTAATCACTGTCAGTGAAAGCCAAACACTAAAATCGCTGTCAGGAATTACTCCCTTTCTCCCTGCATCTCTGTCTCTAGGGCTTAGCAGGGCCTGATCCCATTTATGAGTTCTCCTTGAGTTACTTCAATAGACTGAATCATTTCAGAACATCCAACAGCAGCTAAAGCGAGCATTTACAAGCTCAAACCTTATTTATGYGCACATTACAGCCGTGAGAAACACACAGGATCGTGACCCCTGTGCAGCCATATGTGCATCGCTGTATGATTTAACGAGATCCCATCTGCTAATGCCCTCTCAAAAGTTGTGGCATCCAAAGCTTTTGCAAAGACCTYGTCAAAGCCCCTTCCTGCCCCTCACACAACACCCTCAGCACGTCTTGAAAAGTTGCAACTTCCATCAGCAGCTTCCTGCCTCCCAAATCCTGGGATATACACAACACTGGAGTGCTTTCCATCAYCTCTTCATCAAACACCTCTGAATGCTTGAACCTGTAAGGAATTCATCACACCCAGCCATGCTGCAATCCCTTTTGGCCCTCAGCTCTTTATTCTCTGATTATTTGTATATGAGAGCAACCACTGGTTAATTTTGAGTGCATGGCACTTACTACAAAGTTACCCAGAAGATGACACAAAGTGTAACATGCCATTAAGATAAGATAAATGGGACTTCTTTCGAAAATTATAACAGGATCCAACTTGTAAATTTTGGCCATCTCTCACCTTCCCAAGGAAAAGCATGAACTGTTCTATTGGAAAAGAAGCACTGGCACACTGCTGGGATGGAACTACACCGTGTCATGGCAGCACCTCCAAATGAGAGAGACTACTTTAAAGAAGGAAAAAGGTTAAAAGACAATTCATTTGAAAGCAAGAATAAAGACTTCGGGTACCAACTCAGATGCTGCTTCTCCAAAACTSCTGCTCTCGAGCAGGTCTTCCTTCTCCAGCAGCAGGAACAAGCTCTGAAGCCTGTCAGCACGATCTCAGCACACTCTTCCATCACTCAGCAGATTCCTTTTGTAGGATTGGATCCTACAGTGAGGTAAGACCCCACAGCTTCAACTGAGTTCAGAGGGAGCTGAGACTGAACAAAAACACAGCGGGGCCAACTTGGACAGCAAGATCCTCTGGATGTCCTGGGAAGGGATGGAGTGTCTGTGCTGGGCTGACAGACTTGTGCATTTTACTTCTTTAAGGATAAGGACATCTAGAAGTGTTTTGTTTCATTTTCATTAATGTTGAATTTGGCACTGATGGTTTTCACAAGACTGTTACAGACTTCTGTGAGTCAGACTCACATTTCAGTTTTKCAGGACTGAGTAGTCATCAAAGAGGAGCTGACCACACAGTGTCAGGTCCACTCCTAAGAATGATCAAACATTACGAACATCATGATTTTTCTTCCCATTCTGTGATCCATATTGCATGAGTACCTTAAGGTCAACCACACATCCAGGGAGCTATCTAATGTGGAAATTCTAATACCACTGCAAATAATTGTAAATCTCTCAGCTCACCTGAGCCTCTCCAGACACGTCCACTCTCCTATTGCCTGTATCCAGACACGAGCCTGGGCACAGATTTGACCCAGCTGCTCTCAGCGCTCTGCTGCGTGCTAAAGCCTCACTGATGTGTGTGGGTTGGCAAGGCAGGATGAAAGGGGTGCCCCTCTGTCCAAACACGACTCTCCCCAGCCAGGAGCAGCATTATGCAATACTGAACTACTGAACAGCAAGCTCCAGACCAAAGAGCCTTCCCGGCATAACACACTTCACATGCTATCACTCCCTGCCTGCTAGCACAAGTTTCCCCATGGCAAAGAGAGGTGAAAGAACTGAAAAAGTGTCACAGCATTCAGTGTCCACATTTTCACAGAAATTAAACTGGGAAACAAGACCTGCATCCCAAGATGCACTTTATGAATAAACACTGAAAAGAGGGGAGCCACAATGAATGAGTGGTACACAAGCAGCACTCCAGTAGTGAACATTGCCTTTTAATTCTTGTTCAGAGMTAAATCATTGTGAACATCAATAAAAACATGCCTGAAGGTAAAATCACAGCCCTACGTTCAAGTTGTTTATTTGCAGGTGCAAGGACTATGCCAAGGATCAGGACTTCCTGAGACCCAGCTCCAGGATCCAGCAACCCATGCAGCCTGGAGAGCTTTGTTTATGTTTGACAAATAAACCAATTTCAGAAATCACTGCTTRAATCCTCTGTCACATAGAGCTCTGCACACCTAATAGCACCTAATAAAAACAGTATCACCGTGATCATGGATAAACCCCTACATTTTCAAACACGTTCGCAACACTAAAACACACATTTATTTCAATAGCACTCTGCCAACTCCATTCTATGCTGTTCACARAATGATTTTGTCTATATTCCTCATGAAAACTTAAAGCAACAGAGTTTTCAGGAATGCAAACCAGTTGTCATTCTCTTGACTTGTCACCTTTGGGCCATAAAACGAGTTTATTTCCTCTCAGTTCACTTGTGGTCAGTGTAACTTTCTGGTTGACGGCGCTGCAATGCTCGGGTTTCATGCACTGCGGGGTGATGCTTATCGGACCGAAACCCGATGGTTTTCATTTGACACTTTCAACTACGGAAGGAATCGGTTCACTCGCGGTTTATAACAGCGAGTTGAACCTCACGCTCCCGGCTGAGCTGAACTGGCAGCGTTCCCCTGAAGCACTTCGAGCCTTAAAACCTCTCAGAGCTTGGTGTGCCTGGCATCCCTTTTCCAGCGCCTCAGACACACAGGCTCGGGAATGCCACTCCAAGGCAACGTGGAGGTAGGGCAAGACAGAAACGCAGAGTTAAAAGCAGCTTCTCCTYTTGGAAAACCCGACGACACARGAGAAATAAAGCCRCTCAGCAGCACSCCCCGAACCAGACCCTTGCTCCACRCACACCCGGCGCCGGAGCGATCCCTCGGAGCGCTTACGCCGAGAATGATAAAGCAAAACGGTGTCCCCGAGCGCAGCCCCTCGGGGCAGCCCCCGCCGCCCCGGACGCGCCCTCGGAGCCCGCTCCGCGTACTCACACGAAAGCGTGATAGAGCAGCGCCCAGCCGCGGGGTCGTTCCAGGGCGTCGTAGATCAAAGTTTGGATGCGGCGGTACCTGGCGTGGTTCCGCTTCACCGGGCGGCTCAGGGGGGTCTTCGCCAGCAGCCCCAGTCCCGGCGGGCTCCGCTTGCCTCCCTCCTCCTTCCCGCCGCCCTCCAGCAGCAGCGTCCCGTCGCGGTCGCCGCCGGTGCCCAGGGCCAGCGAGCCTTGCTCGGGGTCGCCGCCGGC